CGCAAAAAGTATTAAAATTTGCTTTATTCTGATTGGTTGATAAGTAAATCATATGATCAGTAACTCTAAATTTGATCGACCAATAAATGGATTTTTAATCATGCTATTGTTCGCATGTTTTTTTTTAACGCAATTGACGTTAAATTTTTGAATCATTTATAATTAGGCCATATAAAATTATATAATTGGTTTTCATATCACGGAATAGTAATCCGTGATGCAGGCGCACGGTTTCTTTTTTTTTTTATGAAAAAAATTTTTTAATTAAAATAATAGTAAAAAAAAAATGTCGAAATCATAAAAAAGATAATGTTTGAAAATATGTCTTGTCGAGAAAATGGGCGGTAGGTGAAATAGTCTGTTGGGAGATATGGTAGAACTAACTTTCGGAGAATCATACTGTAACCTTAGATATATTTCAAGCGAATTTTACTTGATATAGCTGATAAATAGTTAAAGCCAACTTTTAACTGAATTAAAAACTTGTAATAGATAAATGATTAAACCAAAATTTTTTTTTTATTAAATACGATATAATGATGATGCTTATTCACGAGAGACAAATGAATTTGTCTACCTCTGCTAACCCGTAAATGAGCCAGAGTGCTCACTTAGGTTCAAGCAATAAACCATATACTTACGTTCCTAGTATGGAGAATTCTATTGGTTAACTATATAAAAAAAAAATTTACAAACACCACTTCACTAACGCACTTTTATTAATTTTACTATCGCTATTCTCTTTATTTCTCTTTATTTTTTCGTGTTTATTATATTATTATTATTATTTGTCACCTATTTAATCAACAAATCATGTTTAATAATATTATTAATATTGTGTACTTACTATTCTTTCTTTTTTTTATCAGGACGTTATTTGTGGTGGTTACAACAGTTTGCGGTATTTGGTGGTCAAATTAGTTGCTTCGATTGGACTTTATTTGGTGGATTGCATTGTGGAAATTTAACTTTGATTTATAGCTACAGTGGATAGAGACTTATGGTTGATTGAGGATTTTGGACTTTCATTATAGTTGCTTCGATTAGACTTATTTGATGAATTGTATTGTAGAAATTTAACTTTAATTTGATTTGTAGCTACAGCGAATAGAGACTTTCGGTTAATTGAGGACTTTGGACTTTCGTTATAGTTGCTTCAATTGGACTTTATTTGTAGACTGCATTGTAGAAATTTAACTTTAATTTGATTTGTAGCTACGGTGGATAGAGATGTTTTACAGTATTTGATGTTTAGATAGTTTGAGGACTTTGTGATGCTTCGGAAAGTTTTGTAAAGGTACTTTTTATGCTTCTTTTTTGGTTGATCACTTAGGCGATGAATGATAACTTTTTATTTAGTATTTTTATTTAATATTTTAAATAATTTTTCGTCTTTCTAATTTCAAAAATCATATAATACACAAGTCGTATATACTTTTATATATATATAATTAGAAATGTTAAAAAAAAGCTATTTTAGAGAAAACCGAAAGGTACTTTGTTATTTTCTTTTTTTTTTTTTTTTGATATCAGTTTAATTTTTATTAATTTTAAAAATTTATAGAATAATCGAATCCGAATATTATTTTTATTTTTTTTTGATTTGCAATAAAGTTTTAAAATTTAAATTTTTTTCAGTAAAAAATTAAATAATCAATTATTCGAACATATATATAATTTCAAAAGTAATTTAAAATAAAAATAAGAGTTTTCAAAAAAATAAAATCATCATTCTCATGTTAAGTGAATTTTTTTTTTTTTAAAAAAAAAAAACAGCGTTAGCTATTAGTGATTTATCAAATATAAAGTTTTCGATTTTGACAATGCTCAAAATTTTTTATATAAATGAAAATGAGTGCTGCGCATTGCGTGAGTCTGCTCCTCTCTAACTGTGCGTGACTATCCAGCCAGAACGATTATTATAATATCTGATCATACACGTGTGAAACTTATCATTATAAAAAATTTGTGATCATAATTCTAATATACCAGTATATCTTATCTGCTTTATAAATAGATAAAAGCATCGTGAGATAGCATTGAATATGGTATAATATCTAATGCATAGAATGCGCCTTTTTCAAAGACAAATACAGACAAAAATATTTACCTGATGAGGTTAACCTGTATATAGGATAGGAAATAGAACAAAATTTTAGTGTTTTGGAGTTTAAACTCGATGTAAATATTAGGACATTAATTTTTTGTTATCACTGCTTTGTTAAGTAAGCTTCGCTAAAATATGTCATATATTAGCTCCCTGTGTTACAAACAGATTGGAACCTTTATGGTTCTCTTAGAACGAACCTAATAAACATTAATAAATTAGAATATACTTGGAGAAACTCGGAAGCAAGTATGGTACTAACTGACGGGTCGAAGATAGTGAATGATTTGGGAAAGAGGCAGAAATGTGAATTTATGGTAAGAATGTTGATATTTTTGCTTAAATAAATCAAATTTACATTCATATTTGTATTAGAAACCTCGCGATGCGATCTTCCCAATTCGGTTATATCTAAGTGCGAGGAGTTCGTGAACAATTTCCATAATTGAAATATTATAAGAAATATTGTGGATATCATTCATAATAAAATATTCAAAGGAAATGATTTTGATATATTTTTAACAAGGAAATTTATGTAAATTTTATCTAGTGGGAAGATCTGGTGTAACTCCATTTGCGACTAGTACATCTCGTAACGAGCAAAGTGAGGAAACATATATCGCAGATGTTATAGTTCCATTACTTCGAACGAGTTGGAAAACCTTCTGAATGACTATATCTGTTTGAGCACGTAAGAGTTAATTGGTAAAATATTAATTATTACAAAGGTAGAAAAGATTACTAAACATATATCTTTCTAATTTTAGAGCAAAATGTCAAAATCTTGCGAGCTTTTTCATCTATCTTTGACCGGATATTCTTTTGGATATATACTTGCGAAAATTTTTTTATTTTTTTTTCCCCGTGGAACTACTAAGGGGATGCCTTTGGCGCTTTATTTAAAATACTTGAATTTATTTTACATTTAACATTCTACCGCAATTAACTTAAAAAAATTACTTGGAACGAAACTGTGATTTTTCGCCTAATGTCTTAATTTTTCATTACCACTTTCATAAGTATGTTTTAACTTTTCATGTATTTTTTATTTGTATTATATTAATTGAGTATAATAAATCGAATCGGCCATAAAAGGAAACCACTTTCACATGATGTAGTGCAACGGTTCAGAAAGTTAAATAGTATATTCAAATAAAGTTGAAAGTGAGATAAAAAATAAAACCGAAAATAATCTCATCTCTAAAGTTCGCTTGTAATTTCATAATATACAATACTAATGTGAAGGCTCAACAAACAAATTGTAAGCTTTTTTCTTGCTTTTTGGGATATTAACAACTTATATAATACCAGTGAACTATATTTTTGTGTGAAATATTAAACGGGCAGTTAAAAATCAACCTTTTATCCGAAGGAGAGCAAAAATTTATCAGTTACAGCTTTGGATCAAAACAAACTATATATCTAAAATTTAGTCTGTAAGCGAGTATGAGAAAACCAGACTTTGGCTTTTTACAAGTTTATTTATTGTTGGACTCGATCGCTAGATTTAGTCCGGTCAATTATAAATTTAAAAGTGGTTTAGCGTCACTTATTTGTAGATTTATAAGTCATTGTGACTCACCGTTACATAACATAAACCTGTATTTAGTACTAATATACTTTTACAGAAGCGCGTGAATTAACAAAGCTGCGAAGGATATAATTAATAAAATCTATAAATTGATAATGCTCTCTAAATTATCGATTTAGCGAAGTTCTAGTTAATTAATTAATTAGTTATTGTAATGTAACGGTAATGGCTGAAAAATTAAATAGAATTATGATTTTAAAATTTTGCTTGTAACAAATTACAGAATCATCTACTCGCTTGTTAAAATTCTCTTTATTGATTTTATTGGCCAATAATCATGCTTCGGGTCCTCTAAAATTATCATACCAAATGCTGCGGCTACCTAAAACCTGGTTTCTAAATAAACAACTTCTTTAACCAAGTTTTTAAAAAACTTCCCCATCTCTAAAAATAATTGCAACACAATTACTGGTAAAATAATTTATAACATATTTACATTTTTTTTGTAAAGCATAATAAATTATGTATCTAAAAATTAAAAATTGCGAATTAAAGATGTAACTTAGGATGTTAAATGTCTTATATTCTTGATTTATCAGATATGAAAACCATTCTCCTTTATAAATCGCTGTTAATCTCAGTTGGACGCCGCCAATATCTATCCTGAACCGGAACGGTCGAGCTAAGGACCTGAGAAAGAGATTTTCTAAACATGTTATCAGTTATTAATAATAAAGGAAATTTCATTTTGAAATATGAAAATTTTAATGGGATCATTATCTGGCTTTATTCTCGTATAATTTTCAGTCTGAAAATCTCATTTATTTAATATGATTTCTATACTCAAAAATTTATTTATACACATAGAAAATCTAGTTTATAAAGTTTTGCGAACATTCTCATACTTTTATTCTTGTAATTTCATCATGCTAATTCCTGCTTACATTACATTGTTAAAAAAAAAAATGTTTCATTTGGCTGTGTATAAATAAGCCCCCAAGCCTCAACAAATTTTAGATTTTTTTTTGTCTTTATAAAAGACGATCGTTCGCTAACAATGAAAAGATGGGACAAAATTTTAATTCGATTTTTAAAATTCGAGTTATGTTATTACAGTATTAAGTCGTTTAATAATATCTAACATAAACAATTTAAAAAAATAAAATAAAATAAAATAAACTTTATACCAAGTATTAAGCAATCCTCGATATGAAATTTCACGAAGTTTCGTAGTCACCAATCTGATCTCAATTTGTTCTGGATTTGTTGATTTGTCCCAGAGTTCTTGGTGACTGATAATCAGTGTTTAAAATTCAAATTCAAAATTATGTTCTCAAGTGAGCTAAATTTAGAGCATTAATGTTCTCAAAAATTTTTTAATGTTCTCATTATATAAATATTATTTTTTAAAAAAACTTTATATTTATTAAATAAACCTATTTTGAGCTCTTATATAAAGTTGTGTACAGAAATTTTCTCATTCTAATAGTTCTTTAAATATTAAAATTAGTTTAATAGATCATAAGTTATACTTATTTTAGTTTTTGTAACTATAAGTTTTTTTTTTTGCAAATTTGCAAATTTACAAAGAGAAAACTTATAGTTACAAAAATTAAAATAGATATAACTCGTGATATACTAAACCAATTTTAACATTTTAAATACTATTAGAATCAGAAAGTTCTTGTGCATAACTTTACTTAAGAGCCTAAGTAAGATTAATATAGTAGTAAAAAAAGTTATAATTGTTTAATTGTTTAATAATAATAATATTTTGAGAACATTCTATCTATACAAAATGTTCTCAAATAAGAGAACATTAATTTAAATATTGATGTTTTTAAAATAACTTTAGTGTTCACTGAGAACACTAGAACATCGAATTTTAAACACTGCTGATAATGATGATGACTGCATAAAACTGTTACTGGTTTTTCGATCCAACAAAGTTTTATAAAATGAATTATTAAAATATCAACAACAATCATATCAAAAACAAACTTTTTTAAAAAAATTATAGAGAGATCTTTCTTGTTTTGGTCAAGAATTTCACATTTCAGTTTTTAAGACATTTTATTCTGAGATAGTAATTTTACAAATTTACAATAGTAGCAAAGTTGACAATTTTTTTTAGAAATAATTATAATGCAATTTAAACAATGTATATTTTTTAATTATAATGAATTATTTGAATAGATTTCAGTAAATAATTAATTTTGGTTTTGATTTTATCTTTTTATTAACCATATTTACATACCCATGCCACACATCATAAATTAGAAATTTATTGATGATCACATTTATTTACACATATAAAGTTGCACAACTAACCAACTAACCCATTTATATCATACTCAGAGTACTAATGCCCTCAATGAAATCCTATAGATCTCACTGATAATGAGCGATTGAGTACAATGATTTAAATAAATTCTTTAACTCATAGTTGTGAATTCGTAATCGAGCCCTTTTCGGTAATATCACTACAATTCTCCACAATATATCAATCGTAATCATATTATGGTTCCATTTAAAAACGATTCACCGTAATAACCTTCATACAAAAATTTCAAGTGCGAAATCCGATTCGGTATAAAAAAATAAAATAAAATTAAATAAGTTTCGAATTCTATAAATTCCCAATATGAATGGAATTGTTATGGTATTTTAGAAATATATTATAATAGAAAAAATACACTACCTTTTATCGATTTTATTCACTTAAAATTGACCTTTGGACGAATTTCAGGTATAAAAGCGAAATGAATGTAGTGGACTACCGATTTAGGATCTACTTCTATATAACTCGACAATCTTTGTCTATCTTTCAAACCATGTTGTTTAAGAATATGTGTTACCACTTTCCTGTAAATTTGTATCTTTTCTCCTTCTTCAACATTATATGGGCACATACTACACTTGAACATTGGGTGATTACCGAGTTGTCGTTCTAAAGCACCCCGAACATCAAGAATATGCCGAGGTTCTAACCCTCTATGTACTTCATTTAGCATACCAGCTTCTTGTTTGATTTTTAAGATAATATCATACTTTGTATTATCATTAGGTTGGAAAAATGGTGGATCTATGAAAGTTTCACAACGATCAAGAAACCGAAAAATTGGGTCGTTGATGTTGACAGTAAAAGGAACAAAATTGTTCTTTGTTTTTGGTGTTCCAGTAAACACGATATTTTTAAGAAGTTTTATGATATCTTGCCTTCGTTGAACCAATTGACTATGTGTTCGACTTTGCGCTTAAATAATTTGATATTAAATATAAGATTGTTTTATGTTATGTATGTTTTAAATTAAAGGAATATATATATATACTTACGTGACATATGTGGCACGTGAAGATTAATTGGATTCATTTGAGCATTTGTTATTGGTGTATTAATTGGATTCATTTGAAAACTTGGCATTGGCGGTGCATTAATCGGATTAATTTGGGGACTTTGCATTGGTTGCCTAATTGAATTCATTTGAGAACCTGATGTGTCCATATAATGTCCATTCGGAATGATTGGTGGCATTGGTCTTATTGGTGGTGTTCCATAGTCAAATGAATATTTTGAAAAAGGCATTGAAGCTTCCCTTTCTTTTTTTTCTTTTTTTGGAAATTCATATTCAGCATACTTCCTCAACAATTCTTTCTTTTGTGCCTTTAAAGATTTGACATCTTTGGAGGATGTAGTATCCGTAATCGAATGTCCACTATATACAGTAGGTTATTTTTATCATGCTATTAACTCAGTATATAGTCTAATTTCTATTTTTCGTTACAAATTTGCTTAAGTTTTACAAACCTTTTCACAACACTTTTAAGTTCCTCAATGAATGATTGAAAATCTTGTTCAATAAATGGATTGATCAAAATCTTACTCATAAGATTTTTAATCACAGGATTATTCATAAACATTTCCGAAGTATTTAAGGTTTTTTTCTCGTATAATTCTTTAACAATTGCTTGAACTTTGTTTTGTTGAAGTATAACTTTTTCATTCCAACGTCGTGTCACGGCAAGATGAAGTTCGATATTATCTTCGTTACTTCCAAGTTCTAGATCTGGTTCATCCGAATTAGTTTGTAACCTTTTTTGCGCGGAGATTACATGTTGCAACCAATAATATTGTGTTCTACCACGATCATCTGGGCAAGGCACAAGAGGTGGAATATTATTGATAATACTCATATCAATCTTATGCACTTGCTCTAATTCAAAAGCACTACATTTAATTACGAAAAAAATTTTTATTAATTTATTTATATATAATAAAAAAAAAAAAAAAGAAGCATATATATATATGTCAAAAATACCTTTTCGCCCTTTCAAGGATACAGTCCTTACAAGATCTTACGAATGCAGGCCAATATATTTGAACATTCTTTTCTTTACTTTTACAGACCTCACAACCTTTTTCAAAATTAAGTAATTGAGCGAATCTTTTTTGAGACATTCCTTTAGGTGGAATCATATCTCTGAAAACAGTAAAACGTTCACGAGATGATTTCCAAATATCAGAAGAAATGGGAAATAAATCCGCATTAAGCATGTTGGCAAAATTTTTGCATACACATGCTAACATAAATAAATCTTGAGGTGGTAAATGGTCGCAAATATTAACAAAGACTTCAAATGAAATATTATCCTGCATCTTTCCATCAGGAGGATAAATAATAGGATCTGATAAAAACTTTAAAAGTTCTATCAATTGGGCGAAATCTTCTGGATGGTGAGTTTTTGGTACATCATCCATATCCATGCTGAAAGATTTATTATTAATTAAAAAATTGGTTTGTCTTTTGAAATAAACTATTTTTTGTAATATGTAAATTTATTATAAACACCTCACTTGTAGAGCCATTCTCGAAATATCTAAAAGGTGGTCACCTTAACCCCTAGACCTATAAATAATGAAGTATATTTAGCTCTGAACAGTTAAAAAAAAATTGTTTTTTTTTTTTCACTAATACATTAATAGCAAAGATACCTCTGTAGTTCAAAGATTGTCGATCAAATGGTAGCATGGGGAATTTTTAATTTGATATCCCTCGTGATTGTTGTTACACGAAAGATAAATTTAGTTACAGGTAGAAGTAGAGGTGCGGACATTTGTCAGATCAAGGGTAGCTACCCTCTTACGTCAAATAAAATTTGGGTAGCTACCCGGTTACGGCTATGACGTATGTTATTTCATGTTCTAATGTCCGCACCTTTAGGTAGAAGCATAGAGCAAGTTTGATTTTATTGGTTAAAAAAAAATGATCGACATTTATGTTGATCAACTATAATTTTACAATGATCGTAATAAGTAAATTTGATTTGTCATAAGAAAAAAATTTTTTTTTATTATGAAAAAAAAAAAGAACGTGTATACCTAAAACTTGCACTTCTTTGTCGTTTAATAAAATAAGATCCAAATAGATCCGGTAAGTAAAGAATT